ACAAATCAACAGTCAAGTTTTATCTTCATTAAAAATTCGGTGATGAAGGTATTAAAAAGCTTTAAACACATTAATGAATGAAATTGAATTATGAGTAGTAGAAGTAAAAAGACCTTAGAAGATTGTCTAGTTTGCTCTCTCCCCTTATATAAAAGAAGAAATCAGCCCAGAGAGGGAAAATAACTTGCACAAGATCACATAAATAAGTTAGTGTTGGAATCCAGGTTAAAAATCTTTAAGAATCTCTCCATTCTCTCTTTAGGCTGTACTAGATTTGCCAGGCATGGATCTGGGTATTTTATCTTAAAAAATAAGACAAGGTTTTGTTTTAGAATCCTCACTCTACTATGGAAATGTGGAATGATTAAAAGGATTTAAACTCCTCCTTTAAATCTTTGAGGAGTTTACTAGTATCCCTTTAAGAATAATATCATGCACAATTCCCTCTAATAAACACAGTAGCAATACTGCTTTAATGAAATGCCATCTAGTGGAGTTTTGGAGTCAAGACACAGTTCTTCCATGCACCTTCTCCAGGAGAATTACCTTTCTTAGACTCATATTTTAATCAATATCATTATCTCCCTGAGTGCTACGTGATTAAAAATAACACTCAAAATTGTCCTACTTCCAGAGCACAGCAGGGAAGATGAGACTGCGCAAAAGTAAGTTGGTTCACAAGAAAGACAGTATCTGAGGTCAAACTGAAAACCATGGAGCTAAGTGGCCTTAAATCTCCAACCCCTGTTGGACTATAAGAGAAAACAGAAGAATCAGAAAGAAGCTTGTTAAGCTATCACCTCTCCATGGTATGAGGCATCCAAGTCTGCATGGAAGGTAGAGATTGGAAAGGGGGAGACTGTCTATTATGAACAGCTTACCAGAAAAACTTTCCTAAAATCAGAAAACCTCGGGATGAGGAAACACCTAAAATGCTGTCTCATCTAGCTCACTGACTAGTGAGGCTCTCATATATCCACCCAGATTGTAATGTGTGTGTGTAGCCCATCATGCAAGAATGAATGGGTGGATCTGAAAAGCTCCACATGGAAAACTAGTAACAGTGCATGGATATCAGGCAGGCTGACTTCCACTAGTAGAAAGAACTGTCGAAATCTAAAGTGTCCAACATGAAATGAAAGACTGTCGCTGGAAGGATGGATAAGCATAAATCAGGACTGTTCTATTGGTTGTGGAGTGTAAAGAGGCTTAATATTAACCCTACAGAGACCTAATACTTAAAAGGAATTGGAGTGAACTATTCTGAACGGTGGATGACTTGGGAATTTGTCTCAGATTAGTTCTCTGGCTAATAGACTGAAAAAGAGATTTGGTGGCAGGATATTGATTGAGAAGTGCCCTCAGGACCACCTTCAGGAGAATGAAGGCCGCAGGCCTGGGCCAAGGGAGGTACTGGACAGTAATCCACAGGCAAGAAAGGCCCCCTCAGATCTCCTGGGGATATCTGCAGTTGGATGGCCTTTCAGAATTGTCCTGCCTTGTAGTAAGGGCTTTTATATAACTGCTAATTAGCCCTGGCTTTGGACTGCCCCAGAGGAATCAGTGTGACCTTGGATTAACAGCCGTCTTTTTATATATACATATAAATTTATTTATTTTTAATTGAAGAATAATTACTTTACAGTATTGTGTTGGTTTCTGCCATATATCAACAGGAGTCAGTCACAGGTATACATATATTCTCTCCTTCTTAAATGTCCCTCCCCACTCACACCCCTTCCCACCCCTCTAGGATGTTGCAGAGCTCTGGTTTGAGTTCTCTGAGTAATACAGCAAATTCCCATTGGCTATGTATTTTATATGTGGTAGCATATATGTTTCCGTGTTACTCTCTCCATTCATCTCACCCTCTCCTTCCTCCCTGGACCCGTGTCCATAAGCCGGTTCTCTATGTCTGTGTCTCTGTTTCTGTCCTGCAGACAGGTTCATCAGTACCATCTTTCTAGATTCCATATATACACACACAGAAATATATATATATATATATGCATATGTGTTAATATACAATGTTTGTTTTTCTCTTTCTGACTTACTTTCTTTGTGTAATAGGCTCTAGGTTCATCCACCTCATTAGAACTGACTCAGATGTGCTCCTTTTTATGACTAACATTCCATTGTTTATATGTACCAGTTTCTTTATCCATTTATTTGTCAGTGGGCATCTAGTTTACTTCCATGTCCTAGCTATTATAAATAGTGCTGCAATGAACACTGGGGTACCTTTGTACCTTTTTAAATTTTGGTTTCCTCAGAATATATGCCCAGTAGTGGGATTGTGGGGTCATATGGCAGTTTTATTCCTGGTTTTTTGAGGAATCACCATGCTACCTTCCATAGTTAACAGCCCTCTTTTTGAGAAGAATTCCCAGAAAGGAACTCACTGAGAGCAGTCAGCAGTTAATATTGGGTGACTTAGCTCTGAGGAGGCTGTGGACAGCGCATGACGGCATCCACCACAGCCAGCTCCCTGCATCTCCCTAGAACCTAACCAGGAAGTTGTTCTTGTCATCCTCCAGGGTTAAATAACCTTTAACCTGGAATTTTTTGTAGGAGAGTATTCCTCAAGTCTTTTTGTTTTCTATCTACATGCTTTAGCATATACCTCACAGAAGTTTGCATTAGAAACCTGTTTTGTCCTTTTCTGATATTCGTCACGGAAATTTGGCCTCTCTTTGAGTTTTAACCTCTCTAAAATCTGTCTTGCTTCTTAATCTCTAAAATTCATGTAATAATAGTATTGCCTCTCATGAGTTGTTATGGAGATTAAATGAAATAGTAACTGTGAATTAGCTTAGTATCTAATTCAAAGTAAATAATGTGCTATCATTATTACCAAAAGAGAGATTCATGTATATCACAAACACAGAAACACATTCTCTCTTTCCCTCTCTCTCAGCCCTTTAACCTCCAGTGTCCTTGTCTGGACCTGTGGCTCTCAAAAGTCCTCAAGATCCATTTTGGAAGTTCATGAGATCAACCTTTTATAATAATACTGGCATTAACTGACTTTTCACTTTTATTCTTTCTTAAATGTAAAATGGAGTTTTCCAGAGGCCACATGATGTGTATTATTAATGTGCTAATGTTAACAGCTTATTATTGCTATTTTGAAATAAACTCACAACAATTTAACTTCTTTATAAAGTGTCGAATGTGACAACTATTGCTAGATATAACCCACATGAGCAATGATTTTTACAAATGTGAAGAAATCCTGGCACTAAAATGTCTGAGGACCACTGTCCTGGAAAAACTTTGTCTCCTGCTTTTAAATCTATCTGCCTGCTCACACACTTACCGCAAGCCTGCCTGGTGGCCTGCCTGACCCTGTTTTTAACTGAAATCCATTCAGGATATAGGAGCTTCCTAGGTGGCTCAGTGGTAAAGAATCCACCTACCAATGCAGGAGACATGGGTTTGATCCCTGAGTCAGGAAGATCCCCTGGAGAAGGAAATGGCAACCCATTTGAGTATTCTTGCCTGGGAAATTCCATGGATGGAGGAGCCTGGCATGCTATAGTCTCTGGAGTTGTAAAGAGTCGGATATGACTTAGTGACTAAACAACAACAATAATTCAGGATATAATCTGGGAGATGGGGACATGCGAAGGGATCAGAGAGTAAGTGCATGATATGCTTTGCCATTTGTTGTTGTTGTTCAGTTATTAAGTCATATCTGACTCTTCGCAACCCCATGGACTGTAGCATGCCACACTTCCCTGTCCTTCACTGTCTCCCACAGCTTGCTCAAACTCATGTCCATTGAGTCAGTGATGCCATCCAACCATCTCATCCTCTGTCACCTCCTTTCCCTCCTGTCCTCAATCTTACCCAGCATCAGGGTCTTTTCCAATAATGCAGCTCTTTGCATCAGATGGTCAAAGTACTGGAGCTTAGCTTCAGCATCAGTCCTTCCTATGAATATTCAGGGTTGATTTCCTTTAGGAGTGACTAGTTTGATCTCCTTGCTGTCTGAGGTGCTTTCCCTGCCAGGCTCCTCCATCCATGGAATTTCCCAGGCAAGAATACTCAAATGGGTTGCCATTTCCTTCTCTGGGGTATCTTCCTGACTCAGGAATCAAACCCATGTCTCCTGCATTGGTAGGTGGATTCTTTACCACTGAGCCACCTAGGAAGCCCCTATATCCTGAATAGATCTCAGTTAAAACCTCAAATGGGAGTTTCTGGAATATCAAATGAGGTGCCAGAGAACTGGATGCTATAGTTAAAAACTGCACAGAAAGTGCTGGGTGGACCCAAAAGAATCAGATGGACTGATGTCCTGCTGCTCAGTTGCTGACTGTAGATTCAGAGGACAGCAGAACAATGTGGATTCCATCATTAAATAAATTATCCTGTGAGGCTTTCTCTAATAATTACCTTAGAGATGACTCACACAAGTCAATCTGACAATGCAACAGAAAATTTCAGCAAGGCAATTTCAAACTGTCAGAACTTAGGGAAAGAGTAACTCTGACAATGTTTGCACACTTTAGTTTCTTATCTTCCCTCCAGCCTGGTGAGCTCTCGGGATAAGGAGGGGACACAAATAGGGGACACAGGGATGCTGTGTACCTAAAGGGGGAATTTCACAGGGGAGGGAAAGCAAAAACTGGTAAGAAAGGTCCTCCTCATTCTATGTGACTGTCCCTCAGCAGCTCTGGGCTTCTCTCAGTTTCCCTCCCACAAGCCCCATGAGGTAGAGATGGCCACCCACACTCTACAGATAAGAAACCTTCCGATGAAAGCGGCTTAAATGACTTGCCTGAGGCCACAGCTCAATTAGCTGACAGAACTGGGTTACTTGCCCACGTCTTTCTGCCACAAAACAGAACACTTTGCTTTTTGTGTGCCAGACAGCTTCAGTTTTTAATTGATTTGAATGTTTATTTATTGCCTAAATAGGTACATAGTTAGAATCAGTGGGGTCTTCAGAGATGTAAATTTCCACCTACCTGGGCCCTGTTTGTGATGGGCCCATGGGACTGGCTAAGAGCAGTCGGCCTGCAGAAGCCATGGAGAAGCCATGGAGTCCTGCGGAGGCACAGAGGTCGGTGGAAAGAAAGGCCATTTCCGCAGCATTGCTGCTGGCCATTCACACGGCATTTCAGAAGCAATCTCTTTTTCCATCCCACAGGTAGAGGAGGTATGACTGTCCCTACTTTATAGTCAAGGCCTGAAGGGATGCAAACACTTCGTCCAAAGTATGCAACTTGAAAGTCCTAGTGGTTGTATTCTAATCCAAGTCTACATGAATCATGAAGCTCCAGGCTGCTCTCAGTCCCACTGTTCGTGGGCAAATCTAATCATCGGGGATTGGGAAGGACCTTGTATAAGAGGATATTCAGCAGTCTCTGATGCCCTTGTACACCCTTCACTTAGAATTATCTCTTCCCTCTAAGCAGTGTAGTCTAATGGCCAGGATGTGGGTATCATGGATGGGATAAGAGACTCTCCAAACTGGTATTAACCATTTGCTTACAGAGGTGCACTCTGGATGGGGGACTTGGGGTATGAAAGAGTTTTATCATCTATAGGATAGCACTTTTATGTTTTTGTTAGCATACTGTATACAAGTGTTACTTCTTCAATTAAAAGAAAAGCTAGTTACAGAGAGAAGGGGTGATAAGTGAAGAAAGGAAAAGAGGCAAGTGTTTTGAGATGGAATTAAAGGATGCAAAGGATTTTGAAAGAAAAGGGGATACAACATTCTGGGAGGCAGAAACTTGAACCAAGTCTATGAGATGGTGAGAGGGGCTGAATCATGTCCCGAAATTCATATACCGGAGCTCTAATCTCCTGTACCTCACAATGTGACTATATCGGTGATAGGGCGTTTAAAGAGATGATCAGGTCACATGAGGCCACTAAGGTGGGGTCCTGATTTGACATGAGTGGTGTCCTTATAAGAAGAGGGAGAGACACCAGGGGTTCCTCTTCACTGAGAAGAGGTCGCATGAGACCAGTGAGAGGGCAGCCATCTGCCAGCTAAGGAGAAAGGTCTCAGGAGGAACCAAACCCGCCAGCACCTTCGTCGTGGACAGCCAGCATCTTCAGCTCTAGAACCCTGAGGGATAAATTTCTGTTGTTTAAACCACCCAGTTTGTGGTGTTTTGTTATAGCAGCCTGAGCAAACTAATACAGACAGCAAAGTACAAAGTGAGGGAGTCTGAAGTGGCCATGGTAATGGAAGATCGGGAAGGATTACAGAGAGATAAAGTAGCAAAGACAGGGCAGATTGTGGAGAGCCTCATGTGTCATTAAAGAAGGTCGGATTTTCAGACCAGCAGTGAAGAATAAGAAATAAATGGGGAAAAAAGAGATTTCTCATCTACATTTCCTCACCTCTCAGAAATATTTGTAGCAGGAAAAAATCTGCTAAGTTTTTTTAAAATAATACTTTCTTTCTCTGAGCAAATTAATGATTTTCCATACTCTAATTGGTGCCTTTCTTGTGTGGTTCTTTTTGTTTCTCTCTTGATGCTGTCTTCTGCCTTATTTCTGTATCCCAATTTTATTCTAAGCTTCAAGTTTCTGAGGATTATGCAACAGCAAAAGCATACTGACCTGCAGTTTTGCTAACCAGAAGAATATCCAAGGGAGGAGAGCTTCCTGAATGTTTTGTCTAGTCCTCTTCATTCACATATAAACATAGTGAGGTCCAGAGAGGGAAGGGATCCTCACAAGGTCACAAGGCACCTCTGCAATCCAGTGCCCTTCTCATCTGCTCATTGCATTTGGTTCATCACCTGTTTGCCTACTCAGTTCATTCCAGGGACCATTTTTGCTAAGGTTAGAATCCACAAACAAATCATCTTTTCTGTACATACAGAAAGTATCACTCCCCTGCACGCAGGTGACAGGATAGCATACACACAGACCGATCTGAGGTCACGCATCCAAGCCTGGCCAGAACTGATCCCATGCTCCTCATCTCTCCAGGGTCCCCTTGCGCCTCCGTTTTCTTCACCCTGCATGTCATTCAGCAGGAAATTCTAGCTGGGAAAACAGAAACAGTGTCCTATTGCTGTACCCATTTCTGTACCCAAACTGGCCACCTTTCATCCCAGAGTCTGTCTGTAGGAACATGTAAAGTCCCTTCTGTTCTCCTCCCAAAAGCTCTTTCTCCCCGGCAGTAGACTAGAGTCAAGGTCTGGTGAGAGTTGGATCAGACTTTAGCAAATAACTTATACTTTAGTCTCCAGCAAACGGTTTTTTGGTTCTGCTTAAGTTTCAAATGACAAGCTACTAGTGGAAGGAAAAGAAATTCTCCATTCTCAGTCAGCTGTTTTAAAGTTGTATTTTTCATGTAACCATTATAGTCCAGGGACCCAGGTGGTTCAGTCATAGAGGAACTTTATGTTAAAAAATATGAATATACTCAATATCCAGAAGCAATGAGAGATGGACTTCCCTGGTGCTCCAGTGGTTAAGACTCTGCCCCACTACAGGGGATGTGGGTTGAATCCCTGGTTGGGGAACAAAGATTCCACATGCCACAAACTGGCAAAAAAAGTAATGAGAAAGGAATTATATTCTCCACTCAACAGCATTAAAAGTGACCCAAATACTGTGTCCATAGCTAGACACATTATCCATCCAGACCTAAGAAATGTCTTTCATCTCCCATCTTTTCCCCTCAATGTGCAGCTGCTGTTGCATCACCATCCAACCCCTGAAACATTTCTCCTCTATTACCACTATTACAGGTTTCCTTTTCTTCTGTCTTCCATTACCCTTTCTCCCCAAGATGTGTGTTTTATAGACTGACTCAGCACCTCTCTCAGCAAGAGGGCATCATTCGTTTTATAAGAGGGAAAAATTGATGGCAATTTAGGGCTTCTCTTTTGTAGTTTTTTTAAGCCTATGTTAGTATCTCCTAATACCTATTTTCTGGTCCTGTCAAAGTGGCTTGACCTTGGAGCCACTGCTTCACGTGACAGACAGTGCTTTACTATTTGACCCTGGGGTTATAAGACTGTGTGTGGTGTTAGTTGCTCAGTCATGCCCGACTCTTTGTGATCCCATGGACTGCAGCCCACCAGGCTTCCCTATCCATGGGATTTTCTAGGCAAGGATACTGGAGTGGTTTGCCATTTCCTTCTCCAGGGGATCTTCCCAATCCAGGGATCAAACCCAGGTCTCCTGCACTGCAAGCAGACTCTTTACCGACTGAGCTGTTGGGGAAGCCCTTACATAACTACTGGGAAAACCATAGCTTTAAAAACATAGTATTAAGCCCGTACCCACTCTCTTTTCTATTCTCCAGAAAATCATGCCATTTAGGGGGTCATTTCTTTTCTGAGCCTTCATATGCAATATATGATGTGAAAATACTATGTATTGATAGAAGGGGTTGATTAAGAGAACAAACGTTGCCATCATTGTTATCAAGTATTAAACAATCCGATATTAATTAAGCCAGTCATTGTTCTAGGCACTGGGGATTAAGTGCCAAACAAAACTCTGCCATCTAGGAGTATACCTTCTGACTGTGAGACCCTGGATATTAATTAGTAAACAAAGAAACATGTAAGATATTACATAGTAATAAAATTCTGAGCAAACAAGAATAAACCATGAGGTAGAGAGTTACTAGGACATGGGGTCGAGTCACTTTCATTGCAGCTCAAGGTGGCCTAAGGAGAATGTGATATTAGAGGTGAGACCTGAATAAGCTGAAAGTGGCATCCTTATGACCAACAGGAAGTCCAGAGCACAGACCTTCAGAAAGTGACAGCCTGGCATGTTCAAGGGTAAGGGGGTTCACATGGAGTTGGAATTAAGCAAATGAGGGCAAGGGCACTGGCATATCACCTCATAGTGGAGGGGTCACGGGTGTAAGGTAAGGAGAGCGTGGTTTTTTGTTGTTTTTGTTCTTTAAATAGTAAATATAACTTTTAACTTTAGTCTTTCAAAACTATCATTAAATGGATAGTGCATTTATGTTAGTTTTTAATTTTATTGAAGTATAGTTGATTTGCAATATTGTGTTAGTCTTGGATGTACAGCAAACTGATTCAGTTATACATATACATGCATCTACTCTTTTTCAGATTCTTTTTCTATTTAGGTTATTACAAAATATTGAACAATGTTCCCTGTGCTATACGGTAGATCATTGCTGGTTATCTATTTTAAATATAGCAGTGTGTACATGTCAGTCCTAAACTCCAAATTTAGCCCTCCCGCCAACTCTTCCCCTGTAACCGTTAAGTTCATTCTCTAAGTCTGTGAGTCTGTTTCTGTTTTATAAATAAGTTGGCTTGTATCATATCTTTTAGATTCCATATGTAAGTGGTATCATATGATATTTGTCTTTCTTTGTCTAACTTACTTCACGCAGTATGACAATGTTTAGGTCCATCCATGTTGCCGCAAATAGTATTATTTCATTCTTTTTTTATTCCAGTGTGTGAGTGTGTGTGTGTGTGTGTACTGCATCTTATTTTCAAGGAAGAGCTAGTTTTACTGGTGCTGCTCTCTTGAAAATCGTAGATGACTAAGAGAGGGCTTGATAATTCTTTCTAACACACCATGGTTCTGCTTTGGGAATTGCCTCTGTTTCAGTCTCATTTGAAGGACATTTCTGCCCAGTTGCAAATTCAAGATGATGAAGAAATGAGAAGTCCTAAAATTTCTCTGGACACACAGAAACTTTCTTGCTGTTTCCTCATCAACACCCACACAACCTGCAGAAGAGGAAGGTCTGACTTTCTAGCAAAGCTGTATATATTTTCCAAAGCAGCCATCTTCTGCCAGGCAGACATTTAGTTTGCTTCCATGTCTTGGCTATTGTAAATAGTGCTGCTATGAACATTGTGGTGCATGTATCCTCTTGATCCATGTTTTTCTGTGGATATATGCTCAGGAGCAAGATTGCTATATCATATGATAGCTATAGTTTTAGTTTCGTAAGGCACCTCCATATTTTTCTCCATAGTGACTAAACCAATTTACATTCCCAATAACAGAAGGGTTTAGTTTTCTCCACACCGTCTCAATCACTTATTGTTTGTAGATTTTTTGATGGTAGCCATTCTGAGTGGTGTGAGATGATATCTCATTGTAGTTTTGAATTGCATTTATGTCTGTTTAGGTTTTCTGCACATTTTTTCATTGCATTGTGTTGTTATTGTTTTTTGACACTGAGCCACATGAGCCTTTTTGTAAATTTTCGAGATATATATTTTAGATAAAATTTCTATAGATACAGTTTTTGCAATTTTATTTTTTTATTGAAGTATAATTGATTGCAATGTGTTTTAGGTGTATAGCAAAGTGATTCAATCATCTACATGTGTGTGTGTGTATATATATATATTCAGTCATGGAATATGTGTATATATATATATATATATGTTCAGTCATGGAATATGTATGTGTATATATATATATATATATATATATATATATATATATATACACATATATATATTCTTTTTCAGATTCTTTTCCCTTATAGGTTATCACAAAACAGTGAGTGAAATTCCCTATGCTACACAACATGTTGTTATTGGTTATCTATTTTATAGATAGTAGTGTGTATAATGTGTATATATTAATCCCAAACTCCTGATTGATCCTTTGCCAAAAGGGGAATGTGTTTTATTCTGAGCGAGGTGAAAAGCTATGTGAGCATTTGAGCCAGGGAAATGATGATTAATTTTCAAAAGCTCCCTCGGCTGCTTTGGGGAGAATGAACTGATGGGAGACAAGAGAAGGCCAAAACCCTGGGAGGAGCCCTCCACACAGGTAGCGCGGTGGTCCAGGCAGGAGAAGAAAGGAGCGCCAGCTGAATGTGCAGGAGTGGAAGTGATGAGCCTGGTGCAGCTGTGTGACGTGTTTAGAACCAGCAGGATCTTGGTTTGCCCTGTGAGCCGCCTCGGCCTGCGGTGAAACCCATGTGCACACAGCCTTCCTGAAGGGCTCCTGAGCAACTAAACATGCGCACTCCACCCTACACAAGCCACTGAGTTTAGTCGCATGTATTTGTAAACCCAGACTTTGAAAGCAAAGTTGTCCCCCAAAGGAACATAGTCTGAAAATACATATCTTTGCCTACAAAACAGAAAATGTGTTTTATTATTATGGATCAGTTTAGTTCCTTCAATCCCCCAGTTTTATCCTTCTACCCCCTCTTGTGGTCCCACTTGTTTGTTGTTGGTGTTCAATCATTATGTCCAACTCTTCATGATCCCATGGACTGCAGCACACCAGGCTTCCCTGTCTTTCACTATCTCCCTGAGTTTGCTCAAACTCATGCCCATTGAGTCGATGATACCATCCAGCCATCTCTCCTCTGTTGCCCCCTTTTCCTCCTCCCCTCAATCTTTCCCAGAATCTGGGTCTTTTCCAGTGAGTCATCCCTTCATATCGGGTGGCCAAAGTATTGGAGCTTCAGCTTCAGCATGTCCTTCCGCTGTATATTCAGGTTTGATTTCCTTTAGGATTGGCAGCTTTGATATCCTTGCTGTCCAAGGGACTCTCAAGAGTCTTCTCTAGCACCACAGTTTGAAAGCATCAGTTCTTTAGCTGTCAGCCTTCTTTATGGTCCAACTCTCACATCCATACATGATTACTGGAAAAACCATAGGTTTGACTAGATGGATGTTTGTTGGCAGAGTGATGTCTCTGCTTTTTAATGCACTAAGTTTGTCATAGATTTTCCTCCAAGGAGCAACCACCTTTAAATTTCATGGCTGCATTCAGGTATAACTAGCTGCTACCTTGCCAGTGGCTAGGTTTAGAATCCAGGAATACCAGGCTTGTTGGTTCTGATACTGACCAGGGCCTTCCCCCATCAGTAGAAATTGATGAGAGGACAGACAAGAAATTCAGGCAAGTCTTTCTTGGGGCTCCTGCGCCAGGTGCAGGTTTCCTTGCTCTTTCCTTTTATGGGGTGAAGGTAGGGGTGTGTCCAGGGCTCAGCCGGAGGGGTGGCATGGGTAGATTGCCCACTGATTTGTGCTGTTAAGTGCAGGGGGCATGTGCAGTACCTTGCTTTTGCTCCTGACACCCAATTTTTTGTTACTCCCAACTCTTCTGAAATGACAGTTGGGTTTTTTGCCTTTTCGGATCTTTTGGTCCAGAATTTTCCCCATCTGTGCATGCATGCAGTTATTTTTAGTTCCATGTAGCCTCTTCGTATTTTGTAGCTCGAGGAGAAGTATGTCCAGGTACAAGCATTGCAGCACTGCAGCAAAGGACCCCAGGCCCCAGCTTGTCTCAGTCTGACTCCAGAACTCAAGTGCAGTGCACATTTATGAATGACTTCATTTAGGTTTCACTCAAGGTGTAATATTAGTCTAAGCCAGGCCAGATTCCACATCCCTTGATGAGTGACTCTGAAATGTGCGTGTGACCTAACTGGCCAATAAATGAAACACAGAGAGGAATAGTTTACCTTCTTCCTCTGGCTGTTATCATATCTGCCAGTGATGCCTGTAAATCCAGCAGTCATTTTTGGGCACATAACCATCCATAAAATGAAGCCCAGGCTGAGGATGACAGAATAAAAAGAAGAGAAGAATTTGGGTCCTTGGTGACATTATTGAGACACTGATCAAAAGAAGCTGCCACATGGCTAGGCTCCCAGGTTCATGAGATAAATTTTCTTTTTGCTTTCTTTCAGTCTGCATTGTAGGTTTTGGTTCCATTCAGGAAAATTCATTCTACCAAATTTGTTGAGGTTCATTTTGTTTAAGTATTTATTGAGCACCCACTGTTCTAAGTGCTGGTAATACAAAGGTAAAGAAGATATCAATATCTACTTTTATTGCACTTAATTGTCTAGTTTGGGAGGACAGGAAGTAAGATGTAAAAAATAGATGGATTATCTTAGACATACCAAATTCTAGAAAGAAAATAAAGCGGTGTAAGTTACTGGAGAATTGCTAGGAGCTGTGGAAGAGGAGAGGGCTTCTGTGGTGGCTCAAATGGTAAAGAACCCACCTGCAATGCGGGAGACCTGGGTTCGATCCCTGGGTTAGGAAGATCCCCTGGGGAGGGCATAGCAACCCACTCTGGTATTCATGCCTGGAGAATCCCCATGGGCAGAGGAGCCTGGGGTTGCAAAGAGTCGAACACAGTGAGCAACTAAACACCCACACACACAGAAGAGTACGGACTCAACAAGGCTATTAGAGGTAATCAGAAGTGGGCCAAGTGCAGGAATAAGTCCCCCTCAGTTTTTGTAATAGCTTTGTAGCGATAGCTACCAAAAATAACCCAGATGCCCATCTATGGGATCCTAATAAAATAAATCTTGGTACATTATGTGATGAAATAGCATATTTTCAGTAAAAATATTAGAGTATAAAATCATATTGCTTATATGACACTATCTCTAAGATAAATTGTTAATAAAAATAGAAAGCTGAGTGAGGAACAGTATATAGTGTGTTACCTCAATTCTGGGAACTAGAAAAAGTATAGCTGTATAGAAATATTGGTATAAATATATTTCTGACTGGATATGCAAGAAAGTTTATCAGTGTCCTTTAGGAGAGGTGAGAGAAGAGAGACTTTATCTTTTATTTTGTGCCTTTCTGACAGTTTTAGAATATATTTTACCATATGCCTTTTTAATTTATAGAAAAAACTTCATTTAAAAAATTTAGTGACATCCAAATTGCCTTTCAATGCAAACCTGAGTTCAGCAATAATTAATCTAAGTAAATATCGTTGCTTAGGAAGAGTGGCTTTTGATATACATGACATCAGAGGGAAAGAACTTAACTTTAAATTGGAACCAGGCAAAAAATGAGGCCATCTGTTCTACCTGGTGTCACCTGGCATACAGTCTCCCCACCATCAGGGATAAAAGCTGCAGGAAAAGATTCTACCTCCAAATGCTCTGCAGCTACCAAGAGCAGCATTGTGTGGGGCCAGCTGCCAGGATTATCCACAAGACAGTGTCAGGGCATAGAGATGATGGGTAGGATGATAGAAAAATATTTGAGGATGCTACCAGAGGCCAAACCCCTGAAAGATGATGGCAGTACCTGAGGAAGGGCCCACATAACCAGAAACCTCTGAGGACCTGGAGGTTGATGAGGGAAAGTAAGGTTATTAGCAGGTGTATCTACATGGCCTTCCAGGGGATTTTGCTCCCCAGGTCTTTTGATCTGAGCCAGGCCAAGAGCCCACATTGACTTCACTTAAGCTGTGACCTCCCTCTTCACTGAACATGTGTTTTGAAATATCCTCATCTGCTCCATGTCAAACTCGTATTTGTAACACAATCAGCAGGTCTCCAAAGGAGGCTGACTCAAAGCCAACTTTGAGAGCAGAACGGATTGGGCAATCCACTATGGTGATGAGAAGGTTAGTGGCAGCCTGCTTTTCTGCATGCCTGGTTGTTTTCCTTCCAGTTTTGTTTTCTTGTCTTATCTTGTCTTATCAATAACGATCACCTGTTTGGTGGCTAGTGAGCCATTTTCTAATAAATAACACGTGTGGTGAGAAATGATCAATCAAGATGAGGAAAACAGGCTTTTGTTCATCCATGGAAGCTTCCACACACTCACAGTTCTGTCCTGTGAGTACCTATTCCTCCATGCGTCACATGCCATTGCTTAGTGATAACCAGAATTGCTGGAAACCTTGGGACTTTAGGCTGTTTCATACATGAACTGTGCAGGTTTATCCAGACCTTTAACCTCTTTCTAACTTGCTTTCTCCCTTCCTGACATAGGCAGAGGTGGCAATCCGAGGATGAGAAAGGGAAGGTACCCAGTGGTTGCCATTTGAATTTGAATTTGAATTTGTCTTGCAAATCATAAACTCTAAAATACATTCTCTCATCTAAAGCAAGCAAGACTGTGACACGTGTCACTTTCCTATGCTCATGGCCAGTATCACTAAGTCAGCATAACAGCACTCTCTCCTATTGCTCTGGAAGAGAATGTAGAGCTTCAGTCAATTATTTTAGAACTGGCCTGTGAGCTAGACTATCTGCCACCCCTGCAGTCGCTCTAGCCAGGCTTCTGCTTTGAGTTTTGTCCATGGTTTGGGTCCCAGTGGTGTCAGTTTCCCTTGCATTTATACAGTGTGATGTGTCCGTAGTCTAGTGTATCATGCCATTGCTAACAGATGACTGCTGAAGACATTGTAACTTGCACAGAACACATCCTTATGTTGAAAAGGAAGCTAAATTTTCTCACGGATCATTGTCTGTCATTCAGAGAAAGTTTGGAAATTCATGGTTTCCTCATCAAATCACTTCTTTAGACTTTCTTTTTTTTAATTAATATATTTATTATAATTGTAGGCTAATTACAATATTGTGGTGGTTTTGCCATACATTGACATGAATCAGCCATGGGTGTACACGTATCTTAAAAATAACTCAATATAGGGGAAAGAATTTTAGCTCTTGTCTCTATCCACTGTCTTTCCAGGTCTCCTTTCAAGGGAAGGGTGGGGCGGGGGTGGAATATCTAACATAATTGGTCAGCAATCAAGAATTATTAATGGATATTCATGGATAGGGACATGGCATTAAAAGACCTTAACCCATATCCTGCTCCTCTCTCCATTGCTATGCACTACACACAGGTTGGTTGTAAGTCAAACAGGACTTGTGTTTGGCAGGACATGTCATCTGCCTCTCCTTTTCTCAAACTTCATGAATACACTCCCTCAGCTGAGTCGGGATTCCCCTTGGAACCCTACCATCACTTTGCCTGCATGCTAGCATGTGCGCATGCATGCAAGTCATGCCAGACATTGCACTGGGTTAGCATCTCATTCACTAAATTTCTTCCAATTAACTAAATAATACCTATTACTATGTGCGAGCATCATGGAAGTCATGGGCTAGTAGCGCTGCACAGAGAAATGAAAAATAGACCTTTCATTCTAGTAAGTAAGTGAGTAAAACTAGACTTCATCAG